ATTTTTCGCGAGATTATAGTGGTTCAGTATTGAAAATAATAAACAAAATTTAAGGTTATAAATTTGTTTGATATCATAGTTACTTTAATAAATTATACCCTTTATAATAATTATCAATAGTTAATTTAGTAATGATTATTTTTTTTCTACAAGGTGTCCCGTTAGTAGAGGGAAATATTTACAGGAGTGAGAGCAGGCTCCAAGAGCTACAAAAAAGTGTGTACAGACATTGGTCCGATTTTGGACAGAAAAGTAGGTAATTTAAGTTTTGTTTTTTTAAATTGTCGCGTTTGTTATTGTCTAAAAATATTTAATTTATGTAATTTACAATCACTTCTCAGAAAACTGTATAAAAGTTACTTCTAATGAAAGTAGAGTTTTTCATTGCTAATATCATTTTTGGAGTAACTAAACTAAGCTAAATCCTGTTTAAAAAAAAAAAAGAAAACAAATATTCATTGTTACGTAGAGGCTTCCAGATGGATAGGTATGAGCTACATGCCCCGCCCATCTTAATCTTCGTGCCTTCATATCATGGGATATTGATTGACCAGTTTCTGTAAGCAGTTCTTTATTGGTCTTTCTTCTCCATGTGTTAGTACTTCAGCGTATCAGTCCCAGATCGCTTCGGTTATTGTGCAGATGATTTCTCTCTTAAATCTATCAATACTTTTTCTTTCACCAGTTTCTGTAAGCCAGTCTTTCTTCTCCATGTGTTAATATCCTTATTCTAGATCGCTCCGTTCATCCGATAGAGGATTTTTCTCTCAAATCTTTCAACACTTTTTTCTAGGGTGCTGGTTAGTGTCCAGGTCTCACAGCCATATATTAAAACTGACTTTATCATAGCATTGTACATTCTTAGTTTGAGATTTTTCGAGATTTCAATACCTTTGAGAGGGGAAAGAATGCTCTGTTTGCGCTAGTTATATGTAGGCCTAATTCAGCTCGTTGTTCATTCATTGAGGTTATTGTAGAGCCGAAGTATTTGAATTTTTCTACTCTCGGGAATAATGCTACGCAGATCCTATTATTCGAATGGAATTTTCGGCTTATTGTCATATATTTTGTTTTGTCTTAATTTACTTGTAAGCCGATCTGCTCTGCCTATCTTATCAGTATAATAGCGAGTTTCTCAACGTCTTTTTGATTACTTCCAAGGACAGCTATATCACCTGCGTATTCAAGGATTTTATGATTCATTCCGACGTGGACCCCTCCATTTTCCTGTGATGTTGCTCTCATTACCTTCTCCAGGGCTAAGTTGATCAACATCGGTGATGGTCCATCTCCCTGCCGTAAGCCCATTCGAACTTTGAAGGCTTCAAATACTTCTCCTAGTATTAGGCCTCTACATTTGGGGTCATTTGTACACGCCTTCTTCAATCTCGCCAACTATCCGGGGATTCCTAGTTCAGTCATGATTTTCTAAAGACAGCTTCTGTCCACAGAATCATAGTTACTTACTTACTTAATGGCGTTACAGCCCTAGTTGGTCTTTGGCCTCACTTAAAATGGATAGCCATTCCTGCCTATCTTCTGTCTTTCTTCGCCATCTCTTACTACCATCTGTCTCAAATCGTCCTCTACATCATCCAACCACCTCAGCCTTGGTCTTCCGGCTAGTCTCCTTCCTTCTGGCATGCCATTCATTATCTTTTTTTGGTAGCCTCTCATCCAGCATTTTCTTCTGTTACTAGAGATCCTAGATATTTTATGTTCTTGCAGCGCTTGAATTTGTGCCCATTAATTTGCACTCCTTTTTTCTGACCTAATTGAGTTCTAGATGTCCTCATATACTCCGTCTTAGCTTCATTTATTTGCAAGCCTCTGCTCGCTGCCGTAGTTTCAAACTCTTCCAACGCTCCTGGAAGGGCTGGTAGTGTGCGCGTTATGATGGCTACATCATCTGCATAGGCCATGTGCTGGATAAGCCGGCTATAAATATTTCCTCCCGAGTTGGTTCTAATTGCTCTTATTGCCTTTTCGAGAACCATGTTGAATATTATGGGGAACGTGGATCACCTTCTCTCAGTCCCCTTGCCACATCGAATTCTTCCGAAAGGGCTCTACCAACTCTTACATGAGACTTTCCTTCCACATCATTTGAATCAACCTCTCCAACTTTGTAGGGACTCCTAGGAACCTGATATCCCTTGCTACCCTTTTTCTCTCGACCAAGTCGTGTGCCTGTTTGAAATCTATAAAAAGGTGGTATATGCTAACATTATGCTCGTGACTCTTTTCCATTAGCTGTCTTAATGTGAAGATTAAGTCAGTTGTGGATCTTCCTTGTCTAAAACCACACTGATAATCGCCAATAACCCTCTCAGACCATTTTACCAGCCTCCGGTTAATTGCAATAGAGAGAATCTTGTACACAGACGACAAAAAAGCTACCCCACGATAGTTGTCACATATCATCCTATCGCCTTTTTTATAAACTGGGCAAAGTACGAATTTTCTCCAGTCTCTCGGCATACTTTCCTGAGTATGGACTCAGGCCAGCCAAATATATCAATTGATATACATCTTTCAGGAAATCGGCCGGGGACCTTATGGTTCCTTAGTGAAGAAATGATTTCCAGTATTTCCTCCTGATCTGGTGGTACATCTTCTCCATCATTATCCTCTCACACCTTATTGCATTAGTCCTGCTGCCCTCCAGTGGCACTACTAATTTCTGTCCAATTTAAATTAAATAAGTTCTGGAAATATCTATTTCCCAATAACTTTCCTTGTTCATCCTTATAAAATGTAGGCTTTGGTACATACCCTGTCTTTATATCTTTGCCCCCTCCCCAGTAAAACTTCCTACTATTCATTTTATCAAATTCTTCTTGTATCGGCTACATATTCTCATTGCCTCTGCTATTCGTCTTTTTATAGTTCCTTGCTGAGGTTCTCGTTACTCTCTGTATCAATTTCATTCCGGCATCATTTCTTTCTTTGACTGTTTAATCACATTTCGTATCATACCAGTCGTTTTTTTCTTTTCTGCCGTATTCTGCTTTACGTTATATTTCGCGATTCCATCAAAAAACTTCTCTAGAGTACCATGAAATTCATCCTTCTCTTCCTTTGATTTATCTTCTGTCGGCGCACGTATGCTCACCATAGATAAGTTAAAAATTCTACCTTTCAGTTTTATTCTATATATTCTGTCATTAATAGTCTTATAATCCATAATTGCTTGTTTGAGAGTGTTTTTTTACCATAAAAGCAGTTCCCAACTGATTACATTACTACCATTGAAGACAGTATACTTCAGCCAGGAGTGAGTAGGATGTTACAAGAGGAGCTCTTAAAATATAGTGGAGTCACTATTATTAAGAGTCACTATATCCACATATTTCCACCTTATTTCCTGTGCTGCTATGATATCCATTTTATATTTTAAGAGCTCCTCTTCTAACATCCTAATCACTTCTAGCTGAAGCATACTTCTAACGTTCCATGTTCCGATATGTATAAATCTATTTCCAAGCTTAGGTCTTAACCTTAAATCATTCCGAATATTTCTTCTTTGTGTGTTAGTCAAGAGCCTTTTTATGAGACCGAGTTGTCAGCCCAGCGCTCAAACCCAACCCTGGGAGGACCCAGATATTTTGTCAGGGTTTACTCCCTTGATCTCTGAACTTTCATTCTAACTCATAAGACGATGGGGGATTAGGAAAATAAGGAGTACAGGAAAAGACCAATGGAAGGAATGTATAGGATTAAGGTATGAGGTCAACGGGCAGTTGTCCCATTAGTCGCCTTTTACGACAAACGGTAAATGTAATGGATTTACTGTACCCCCTCCCTCCCCCCCCCCCAACCCACAGGGGAAACCAGAATCATAGGCTGCTTTGAAATCGACTAATAGGGCCTGGAGCTCCTTCCCATCATTTTTCTGGTACTTTTTATATAAATATTACTTCAAATGCTTAATAAAGGTTGCAGATTGCTTCAATTCTGTTCATGAACTAAAATAAATAAAGTCGATACAAACATTTTTCTAGGCTTCAATACTGGAACGGTGGTAGGTCTGTAGATCGATGCGGGACAAATTGGACCTTCAAGATTTTGATGCGTACAGCAAGACCCGGATAGTTCCTCCGGAACTATCGGATCCTGCGTTTTTAAGCCCCAAAACTATTTTCAGAACGCACACAGAGATAACGCATGACTATATAAAACATTACTAAATTGTCTACACAAGGAAAAAAAAATCACTGAAATCGGCAATTTTTCGCAAAGATACAGCTTATTGAAATTTGTAAATATGTTGGTTCCAAACAAAAATGAAGATTTAAATTAAGTTTGTTCCCTTTGTTGATTATATTTATGGATAAAGTAACAATTGATTCTTTTATCTTTTGATAAGTGGCATCATTTTATTTTTTTATTAATTAGTCATTTGATAGCAATATGCTGTGAAATTTTTTCACACGGGCTTACTAGTTATAAATAATAGCTCAGTATATAGAGGATGAACATTTCCCTCGCTTACAGTATCCATATTTTTAATTTCTGAGATATTTTAATCCATATTTTCAATACCGCTCAATCTAATTAAATCTCCACAAAAAAGTGCAAAACGAATCTAAAAATGTCTTCACTTAAAAAATATATTTACATATTATAAAGGTGATACTATAACCGAATCTAAACTACTCGTTAAGCCGTTATTTTTTATTTAAAACAAGAGTTGTCAATACTTTCAGTATTGACCTGGGAATAGGGTGGTCTTGGTGATCTTGAAACCGGCTTGTGTTTTTGACTACTGAAAAGGAACTGCTACCATTCATATTGAAGGAATTATTAGTTGTAACGATGAATCATACATTATTTTATTTAATTAATTGATAAAAATTATATATAAAATATAAAATGATCTATAAAAATTATGATAATCACATGTTAGTATCATATGTTTGCTTATCTCCTGACCCCGGTGGATTCTTTATAACCGGAGAGGCGAGATCTTTCAGTAGCAGTCTGACAGCCAAACCGCTATGAAGTACCTAATTCTATCTGTTGTAATCTGCTACGCTGTGAGTATATCTTATATCCTTTTAATATGTAGTGTTTATTATATTTGTCGTAAAGATATTATTAACATCTTGTGTTTTACTTTCAAATGGTGGCTATATTTCATAAAAATATGAAAAATTACAGAAGATTGCAACATTTGAAAACAATTAACTATCACGCTAAATGGTTACTTGTTTTTTAAAATGGTTGACGAAATGGTTTAATGGCCGATTGCCTACCTTTCAAAGAAGTATATTCTAGTTCCGAGTATATTCGAAAAAATAATATCTCACTTTTTCAATATTATTTCAAACATATATTTTTAACCAGTTTTTTTTTCTTAATATTTTACTTAACATCAGTTTTATTAATAAAAATAAGAATGACTCCTAAAAAGTGAATAAAAATTATTGTGATCACTGATACTGGATTTACTGTTTATAAAACAGGGAAATAAAAATAATAAAAAAGCTTTTGCAAAAACTTATTATATTTATCAGGCCACTCGTTATTTAAAGTTTATTCACTAGCATCTTACATAATGTTTCTCGTTTATAAAATATTTTTTATAAGCATAACTGTGAAATAAAAGGCTGTCCATATAATTATTAATTATAAATTTCATTGAATAAAAAGGCAAATAGAATACCTTATTATAAAAATATGGAGCTGTCATTATTTATAATAATGATTATGTATTATTTATTAATGATACTGTGTCTTATATACAATTATTACATATCTAAAAGACACATTCAAAAATGTAAAAATAATAAAATTTTATCAATTAATATGGACAACTTTCACTAGCAATAAGGTCAGCTGCATTTCGTAATAGTCAGATAAACTTGAGATTTCGCGAGTAAATGTCTTTCACTCAAGATTAAATTCAATCGATGCTAAAAGATATTAAATTTCTCCTATCACTACATTCAATATTTAGGTTGTTAATTTAATTATCATTAATATCAATAATTACCTTGATATGTATCGGAAAATAGAGTATTATTTATGACTATATTATATTATAATGCTGTATTATTAGTATAATACAATAATAGTTATATGGCATTATTGGTATATGAAAAAATATTTCTTAGTGTAAACATATACCTGGTTATAGATAACGTTCAGAAAAGAAATAAAAACTATATGGCAATTTATCACACAACGGCCGTTAATTTTTAATTTGCAAATAGTTTCAAAATATAATAATAAAATACGATATGATAATTCAATATAAATTTAGTTCACTTAAATGAAATCTATGAGGATGACGAAGCCGTGAAACAAGTCAATATTCCTGAGCGTAGGAAATACTTGTCTAGCTCATGAAGGCCAACAACTTATGCCAAACATCTGCACTCATTAATGGAGTATTATATTTGTGTTTTCTTTCTTGACAGCTCCTTCAACAAATCTCTCTCTGATTGATATAGGTATTGATGATGTATTATATTTATGCTTGAAGTAAAGGAGCGTAAGAAAACGCTTTTCCACAGTCAAACCATATTTTTTTCTTCTTCTTCATCCTCGCCTTTTCGGTTATACGAGGAATGGTGGGAGTTACAAAAGCTCCTAAGTTCTGCAATTTGATTTAAACTTTTAATCTTAGGTTTATTAATTAGGTTAGCGGCAACGTATATCTATTTAACCTATACATAATTATGGATTGTAGAACTATTAGTTATTTTCCATTGTGAAGTTTACTAAAATGAAATTACGAGACTTTTATTGCCTGCCATGGATAGATCGAAAGTTGTCACACTAATTGTAGGTGGATAATGTGGGGATTTTACAAAAGGAAAAATCTTCAAATTATTTACTAATTTAATTTTCTATAAGTTTACATTATAGCCTTTAAGTTTTAAAACTATAGTAAATGTATTAAAGGAAATATACATATCCATGAAATATTTTTGTTTCACTTCTTCTATCACAGAAGTACAATGAAATAGTATTTTAAACAATGACATTGGCTTGATTTGGTAGATTTGAAATACTTTTTGAACTTTTAAAAACATTTAAAAGTTCACATTACTTAAGAAAATTTAATTTAATTTCCTTGTAAACATGTGATTAACGTTAAGTAATGTAAGTTTTCTGAAATTACTATTTTACACTCTCCATTATTTTCTACAGCATCATTTATTTGATATTATTTTTTCAAAAATTCTTCGCTTTCCAACGATATATTAAACGTATATCTAGTGACTATTATTTCCGTAGATTCATTTTCGACCTGGCTAAGCACTTTTCTTTTTTCCCCAGTATCAAATTATCATATTATTTCAAACTTCATATCCAGCCATTTTTTATAGTTATTGTCAATAATGAATTTCATCAAATTCCATCCAGTGGTCTTCCGCTTACGCACCCGCAAATGTATTTTTTTAGATATGCCAATATTTCAGAAACGACCTGTTCTATTTGTCTCAAAGTTAAAAAAAAAGATAGGTATTAATAAAAAAATAACTTAGCACCAATTTCATCAAAAAGTATTAGTAACACTAATACTTTTGTCCATTTTACGTGTGAAAATGTACCAATTAAGTATATATAACTACTGTTAGTGCAAAAGATGGTATGTACAAACAATTCTATTCTACATTTGACATTTTTTAGTCTGTAACTGATATAAGCAATCTACTACAATGGAAAATATTAGATGGCAATAAAATATGAAATCATACTAATAAATCATAAAGAAATTATTAGTTTTTATGCTCTCCTGTAAAATACTCAGTTTTTACATACGATCTTTTAGCACTAACAGACTGATATGCATGTTCAGAATGCCTGGGAATTTTTGGTTTTAATCAAGATTTATCAAATATGCAATCTGCATATGTGGAACTCTTTCGCATTTTACTATTCGCTGATGAAAAAACTCTTGAATATCAAATACGTATATGTTAGGGGATTACTGAATTTCCAAAAACGGCTTCACTAGAAATTTTATTCTCATACGAAAAAATTTAGATCTTGTAGTAAAAATATTTTGTATCTAATGGGAACGGTGAGGAAGCTGTACTGATCTTACCTGGCTGACGTTTTTTTGTTTTATCATGTAAAATTTGTTTTAATGGATTTAAAAGATTTCATGGGAAGGCATCGCTATGAAAATATTTCAGTCTATTTTGTTGATTTTTCAATACATAATATTGATACAATCGTTTCTTCTTCATGATAACCGCCTAACAAACAAGCAAAGATTCCTTTCTTTCTATATACTGAAAAAAAAATAGTGATATTATAAATATAAATAAAGAACACTCTTTGTATTTGTTTTTAATAAGACAATATCATATCATGAAATAAAGACTGTAATGGTTACAATTAATAAATTATGGTTTATTCATAAATAGCTGCAAACAAAATTAAGATAATTTGTGATTTATAATTTTGTTACAGTTCGCTGCATCGATAGACGAAAGAAATGAGTCAAAAAAACTATTACAGCTCGAGCATAAAGTATTTGTAAAATGTATGACTGATGGAAATATCACTGAGAGTAAGTTTCTCCGTACAAATTAATGTTTTATATATTCTGGTCTTGTATTTATAATATATTTGGTCATATTTTTTATAGGTGCCGTTGAAGACATATTCAAAAAATTAGAAATACCTGAAACAAGATCAATAAAGGTGAAACACAACTTATACATTAATATCCAATTTACAAAAATTAAAACAAAATCTAATAACCATGCATTTTTTATTATTTGCAGTGCCTTATGGGATGCTACATGAAAGGCATGGGATTTGTAAGTATTTTCATATCAGTACAAGCATATATTGATAAAATGAATAAAAAAAAATCAGATAAGTATGTTCTAAAAAATAAATATCAAATAAAATAAATTAAAAGAATAGATTGAAGGAAGTTAGTCGACTGTTTTAAAATTCGTCTTTTTTTTAAAAAAAGTAAAAAAAAAAAAGACTGCGTCCTGAATATTTATCACCCATAAAAGAATAGATATTAGGTTATAAATAAAAATTAATATCCAATTAAAAAATAATAATTAAAATTTTGTCAAACAAAAAACAAATATTTAACTCCCCAGAGTAGAATTGTCAGTATTCCTCCAGAATTGGTGGGAATGTGATTGGAGTTAGACTTATTTGAATGCTCACCCCAATCATCAAATTTTTACTTCTATTTTTATCCACTTGTCCTGATAATTTATGGATGCATCGAATTCATATTATTTAATGCATACAATATTTAATATTAGGAAATTACTTCAGGAAATGAGGCTTTGTTAACTATTTGGCAGTTTTCAACTCTTCAGCACCACAAACACACAAAACACCTTTATTCCTCTACAGCAACAAAGGACAAAGGAGGGTAACCTCACCCAAGCCAACCTGTCTTTGTTTACAACAGCTATAATAATGCTGCCTGATAACATGCATTAACTCTACACATAACACAACTTTCACTTGCCGCTGTACTTTAAATAGAAATAGTTTTCAGACAATATTGGGCTATTATAAATATTTTAAACTTTAAAACCTTAAACCATACAGCTAACCTGTAACAAATCATTAAGGCCATTAAAATAACACAAACCCTATTTATTATGTCGACGGTAGGCAATAAAAACTCCATTGCATTCATAATAAAAAAACTCCTTCAGATTTTGTAAACCACTTAACTCTGGTCTCTGAGCTAATGATTCAGAAAATAATGCAGGATTTTAAGTTTTATTTAAAATATCCCTCTATATAACAAACTGTTAACGTTTACTGGATTATTCATTTGTATGAATGTCAATACTAATTAATCCTCTTCCAAGCGTTTGCATCTGTAGTATAGTTACACTAGTTACCTCTGTCCTTATTAATTATAAAAAAACGAAGGAACGTTCTTCACGTTTTTATAGAGATGAAAAATCTCTTATTAGGTGAGAAGAATATTTCTTATTAGGGATAAGCATTTGTATTTTTCTATGATCTTAACAAATGACCTCTAATCTATAGCTTTTTACATAAATACATGTTTTTTTTTATAACAGTTACTTTTCTGATAAGTATTTGATCCATTTATTGATAAAATATTGTTAATCACAATACTTCACATTTCATTAATATAACACCTTATTTGACATAAGATGTGGATTCATGAATGAAGTGATTTATTTGTTATATTTTCTTAATTTTTATTTTTTTAGTTGGCTGATGACGGAATATTAGATTGGAAGAAACTGGACGGAATCAACAAAGTTGAGTATCTAGATCCAGCACAGAAGAAGAAGGCCCTGGAAGCTTCAGAGACGTGCAGTAAATCTGGTAATTATTAAAACATACTTTATTTTTGCCAATAAAGGTAGAAGAATGGTAACAATAGAAATGTCTCCAACAATATAAATATGCTATTAAACCATTTTTCACTTCTATGATCTAATGCTATCATATGATCTAATGCTTTGAAACATATATACACTATATACTTATGAATGGCTAATTATAGCATACAGTAATGTAATATGCATAAATTTTATAGGCATATTAATTTAACAAACAACTTTAAATTTAGTAACTCTGAATAACAAAATATTTATACTATAACTAATTACAGCCTTATAACTCTTTACCTCAAAATTATAGTAATCGTAGCTATAATAGTGTCTTGTCAAACCAAGGCCACGATATTTCAAAGGAATGGTATTAAAATAAAAATCTATAACGAAAACATGTATTATTACATATATATTTTAGTGGTTCATCACATTTTCATATTATACCCTCACCTGTTTGCAAAAGCAGGTATATTTCTTGAAATTTCTTTTTTTTTTTTAAATATGATTTGATGAGAAGAATACTGAATTACTGCTTTAATATAAACTTGTCCTTTATTTTCTATTTCAGTTCCTCAAAATCTGGGTAACATCTGTGACGCAGGCTATGCAGCTGCGAAATGTTTCGTCGGCGAGGCTAAAAAGGTATTATGCATCAGTATTCTTTCAAGTGCAATATCAGATATATATAATTTAGAAATAGAAATAGAAATAGAAAAATAACTTTATTCTGGGACACAGTCCCTTGATAATAACAAAATAGAACAAAATTAATATATTACATCTGGCCAAAATAAAATCAATCGAAAAAAAGAAATAATGTAAAAAAAAATATACGGTGAAAATTCTATATACAAAACAAACTAAACTATATACAAAACCATTAATAATATGACAAGACACTTAAAGCTGTTTGCTCTTATAGACCAGTATACACTTTTACGAAAAAAATAAAGAATTAAAAAATAAAAATGTATCAAATTCTCTATTAAAATCAGCTCGAATGGTTAGCAACTATCTGACTGTTTTTGGGATAGGAATTGGAATAGGAGGGTTTTGAATGTGGATATGGATGGGGAATGACGAATTTTGATAGGGAGGGAATTCCAAAAATTGACAGAGCGAACAATAAAGGAATTTTGGAATGAGGGAGATCTGTGAGAAGGCATGTAAAGGTTAGAAGGTCGAGATCTTGTGGACAGGGAATGGACTGAGGATTTGAACTGGAGAAGGTTGTAGGCGTAAGAAGGACGATGGTTGTTGATGATTTGGTAGAGGAATGTACCTAGGAAATATTGTCTTCGGAAGGAAGGGAAAAGCCACTTTAACTCAGCGTAGTGGTGAGAAACATGGGAGTATCTTGGGGCCCCGATCACAAATCTTACGCAGCTGTTCATTAGTCTTTTCAGTCTATCACGGAGCTCCACAGAGAGGCCATCATACACCACACAGCTATAGTCAAAGTGGGGGAAAATGAGAGAGGAAACTAGGAGTCTACGCGTACGTTGAAGTAGGAGATGGCGGAAGCGATGGAATAGTTTGAGGGTGGAAATTGTCCGTCGAGTGATATGAGAAATATGGTGATTCCAAAAGAGGTTTTGATCAATAAAAAATCCTAAATTTTTAACAGAGGAGTAGAAGGAGATTGGCTGATCATTAAGGTGAAGGATGGGAAAGTCTGTATAGGATCTAAGGAGGGGCTTGGAACAATGACAATGGCCTGAGTTTGGGCAGCATTTAACCTTAATCCATTTACATTTGCCCAGGCACTGATTCGATCTAGGTCTTCTTGGATCTTGGCAAATGCCCCCAGTAACTCAGGAGGGAAAAATGATAGGTACATCTGTGAATCGTCTGCATAAAGGTGATGGGAACAATGGAGAATTGATTTAGGTAAGTCGTTAATGTAGGAGCTGAAAAGGAGAGGAGATATGCTTGAACCCTGGGCAACTCCGGAGGATAAAGAAAGGAAAGCAGATAGTGGTTGGTTGGGTATGGAGACTGCTTGGGTACGTTGTGAAAGGAAAGATTGAAACCAAGAGATGGAACTATTAGAAAAGGATAATAATTTCAGTTTGTTGAAAAGGATGGAATGGTTGATGGAATCAAAGGCTTTGGAGAAGTCGAGAAGGATAAGGATTGTTAACTTTTTATCATCTATTGCAAGTTGAATGTCGCTGGTGATTTTAATTAAGGCGGATTGTGTGGAGTAGCTGGGACGGAAACCAGATTGGAGAGGATCAAGTTGGTTGGACTTTTCGAGGAAGTTGGAGACTTGGGATTGCACCAATCTTTCTAGGGGTTTTGAGAGGTTGGAAAGAATTGAGATTGGGCGAAAATCTTCGGGTGAGATCGGATTAGAATTTTTATTCAAAGGAAGGACAATGGCTTTTTTCCAAGATGTAGGGAATACTGAATTCTGAAGGGAGAAATTGTAGATGAAAAGAAGAACTGGGAGGATTTCAGGAAAACATAATTTTATTAATTTGAGAGGAATGCCATCGGGTCCTATGGAATTGGTGTGGGATTTCATTACAGCGGTTAAAAGGTCTGTGGGAGAAATGTCGGAAAAATAAAAGTTATTGTCGTCAAATGGTATCTCTATAGGAAAGCCGGAACAGGAGGATAAAGGAGAGGTATTAGGAACAGATATAAAATGCGAGTTTAGATCATCAGGGGATATTGGAAAGGCTGTTGTAGGGGATCTGGAAGGATCACAAAGGGAGAGTTTACGAAGCAGTCGCCATTTTGATTTTATGTCAGGAGTTGAGGAAAGGGCTTCGTGGAAGTAGAGGGACTTCGCACGCCGGATCCTTGTTTGTGTCAAGTTGCGAAGCACCCTGAACGCTTGGTAGTCATCTGCAAGCCTAGTACGTATGAAGCGTCTACGAACAGCGTCGCGTTTCTTCTGCAGTTCTTTAATTTCCTGACACATCCAAGGAGCAGGCCGGTGACGAAATGTAGAAGGTTTGAGAGGGGCATGGGTATTGAGGATATTTAGGAGATTGGTAGTAAGAATATCAACCATAGAGTCGATGGAAGTGCAAGAATATATTTTATTCCAATCTAGGATTTCCAGGTCAGGTAAAATTTGTTCTCGTGTAAGGGAATCTAGATGGCGGAAGGTGATAGTTCGAGGCTGAATAGGAGGAGTTCGGATATTATATATTATTTGTATCAGATCATGAGATGACAAAAAGGATACTGGCAGTTGGGAAGAGGAGAGGAGGTTTTGTGCAGAGTCTATAATATAGAAATCTAGCCAAGTGTCGGACCTGCTAGTATGGTGAGTGGGAGAAAAAGGAACGATAAAGAGGTGAAGGGAGAAGAATAGATCTTCTAGATAGGATTTGTCATTGGAGTTAGATAGGAAATTGGTATTGAAGTCACCTGAGATGATTATTCTGGGATAGAGGGGAACGAAATTCGTCATAATTCTAGACACCCATTTTCTAAACACTTTTCCCCATATTCTATTCCAAAAAAAGACACCTACATTGAACACAGCCGGAAAAATAATAACTGGCACAAGCTCACACCGAATTCCGAGCATTTCTGAGTGTGGAAAGAAAATGTACTGTTTGGAATTAACATCTTACTTCTTCTCCCATTTAGTTTATGTTAGATTAACTGAAGTGGATTCGAGATGTATTTTGATGTTACCGATAGTTGGTGGATTAAACTAACAAATTTTGCGTGGATATACCTAAGGATAAACTAATTAATATTAGTTATTAGGACCTAGGAGCCACAAACAATTTCAAAGAATTTCCATCCATTGAACAATATGATCGAAAAAATATTAATTTATTTTACTGTTAATTTTCAATTTCAACTGTAAGTTTAAATATACTACAAAACTAATTCGTGAATGTCAACATATTAAATACAAGTTATCTATATTATTTATTACAGTAATACATGAGGGAGGGTCAGAACGATAATAAAATTAGACATTTTTTTTTGTTTATAATTTAGTAAAATAACATTAATTACCCTCTTTCCCCAAATCTTTCCCTCCCTTCATCTCCCCCGGCCCCGTTCAAAATATTAAAATGAATAATATTTACTTCCCTAACTTATATCAAAAAGATTATAGAAGATAAAAGACAAAAATTGTCTTATTGTCAAACATGAAAAATAATATAAATGGAAAATAAAATATTCTAAAATTTGAAAATCTGGTTTACTGAGCCTATTCTGGTGTTAAATTGTAGCATATTCAATCTATTTTAAAACTGTATACAATGTTTTTTTTTTTCAAACGTGCTCCTTCATGGTCTAAATGGAGAAAAACCGAAAACAGTGCGAAAGTATAGCTATTTTTGTGGTTTTGAAAAGTGATACGGCGTGACGCCGAGGTCGAAAACTTGGATTTTGTATACAAGAATACAAGATTTTGTATACATATGTATACAAGAAAACAAAAGAAACTTTCTACCCCTAGTCGATCCCACTTATGATGTACGTAGAAGATCCCAGTAAAACCCCAAATAACATTTTATTGTAAGAAGATCAAGAAAAAAGATACAATTTTTAAAATATCACTTCACCTTTTATTAAAAGATAAAAATGTTAAGATATATACATGTATTATTTTTTTTTTATAATTGGACATCAGTTGTAATGCTTTCTAAATAATTGACATAATTAGTGGTTATTAAAATCATTACTTCTTTAATTATATCACGATAGTGGAACTTCCGCTTGTTCAATGGACTATCAAATTCCTTCAAAGTCCTTTTCTGTGGAGGTCGTGCCTTATAAAATATTCAAGAATGATTCATCGACTATTCTTATTGCCAAATTATATCTCTGCTTTAATAAATATCAAAAATATTACCACTCTGACAAAATTTTCGTAGATGAATTAATGACGTATTTTTGGAAAAAAATCAACTTTTTTTTAGTTAACGAGCCCAATATTTTCTCTCAGTTAGAACGAAACTAATTTAAGCTGGAATATAAAAATATAATTGAAGTTCACACAGCTTTGATGATAAAGGAAGAAATCGAAATCTCGAGGAGCTGGTTGAATTTCAATTGAAAAAACAAAATCACTAATAAGACTTTTTATTTATTAACTAAATAAAGTAAAAAACATACCGAAAATTACGTGAAATCTAAGTGAAGGCAGTAAAAGTGTAATGCCAGTAACGTTTGGAATTGACCAAACAATACAGTATAAATTAACTTTTTGAATAAAACCTAAAATGTTATAACCTCAAAAAATATTGTATTAACCTATTTCATGTGATCAATGCCTTCCACATTTTGCAGTTATTATATTGTTAACAGTTATTTATATTAATTTTAATTATTGAGTGGAATTAAATTAAATTGAAACTAAACAATTTGTAAACTATTCTTCAAATTTCTTCCAATTTTGGATCAAATTGAGCGAACCGTTTTCATATTATTAGGCGAGTCAAATAATACGATTACTGACCCGAAATCGGAAATCTTTTTTTTTTTTTTTGAGTAGTGGATAGAATTATAAGTTGGTAAAATTGGATCTTCCTTAATTATCTGTTAACCAATTCCTAACTTCCTTCCAAATTAGACTCAAATCGAACAAGCGGTTTCAGAGACATAGGCGTATCAGGGAAAACGCGTGTGCGTATATATAGGAGAAAGTAGATAATGGAATTCACTAAAATCAATACAGAATTATAATTTTTACGATAACCCACCTCTCTTTCAACTTTGAGCCAAATCGAAAGAGTCGTTTCTGAAATATTTTCATATCTATAAAAACACAACTATGCGCGCGCGAGCGGAAGTGCAGGACGGAATTTGATAAAATTTATATGGGGCCATAAAGACACCAATTCACACAATCCCTAAAAATTTCATGAAAATCTGATTGTCACATTGATTCGACTAAAGACAGACAGACGCCGAATCAAATTTGGTCCTTGATGTCTGAACGTAAAAAAATTTTCGAATTTGAGCACACAATTTTTGTTTACCTCTCGCACGAATACAATGCTTTTTCCTTCTGTCAACTATTATCTCAGTCCAAGGCAATATTAATGTGGCAATTACATTAAAAATGGCTGGACATGAGGGGAAACGGTATTAGTTCGTCACTAATTTAATAAATAATCACTGACTTCCAAATTTTATCTTTTTCTCCCAATGTCCAACGATGCTGTACTTTCACCCTCATGTGCGACGCCACTACTCCCTATAATGCTAAAGCAAGCAGCGGTCTAACGCACTCGTCCATCATGGCCTCTATTGTTTCCTTGTTTGAAAGTTTCCTCAAATTTGTACCACGAAATAAATAAAAATTTGTGAACGTATACATAAGTTTATAACTTATTTAATTGACTTAAGTCAATAACTTCTTTTTTTTTCAGCTTGGATTTGTGATTTTTGGACCCGAAAATTTCAAAGAATGAATCAGGAACATTGAAGACAGTTCTTAACCAATTGTAAATCAGTGATGCTGATATTACGTTATTACTATGTTATATTATATTACGATATACGATATATACGATATTACGTTATTATGTTTTTTATAATTAAACTATGTTATTGTTTGTTGTTTTTTATTTTTGTGTGTTATTTTATACATCTTTTATTTATTAGTTATGCATATTCCTGGTTCATAATAAATTTGCCATCTACCTCGGTATTCAGCAAATACGATATCAAGGAGAAGAAATGATAGCATAAGAAAAAAAGAATAATAACAAAAAAAAAACTATAGTAAAATAACACATAGATAATAGCATAATAACACAGAAAAAAAAGAAAGATAGTGCAGCAAGTACCTCAATGACTCTATTGGCCAACGCCTCAGCAGTCTTCTGGGCGGATTATATGGATTTGTGGCAGTAGATAGAGCTTGAGTAAGTGGATTGGAATTTAGAATCAGTCTGTCATGAAAATTATTAAAGGGGTCAGTGGCTGTTCCCGTGATGAAAGTAGTGTTAAGGTCAGTGTGTAACGTGAGGTTTGAAACTTAAAAGGGTGCGTCTACAATTTTTCGAAGGACATTTGACTGGAATGACAGGATGATTTTTATATTTGATTTCTTTGCTTTTCCCCATAGTTCGATCCCATATGTCCAAAGTGGTGTAATGAGGACTTTGCAAATAGTTCATTTATTAGTCACAGATAATTTAGAACGTCTGTCAAGTAGCCTAGAAAGAAGTCCGTATCGCTGATTAAGTTCTTTTCTTTTTTGTTTTATGTGGTATGTCCATATTAGTCGTTTGTCCAAGTGGAGACCAAAATATCGTACAGTTTTTGAAGGTGGTAGAGCAATATTATTAAAGAACACTGGAGGACAAGAGTCATGTTTAAGTGTAAATGAAACAAATTGGCTCTTAGACTCGTTGATTTTTATTCTCCACCTTTTAGCCCAACAAGCTATGTAGTCTAGGTGTTCTTGAAGTACGTGAGAAGCTTTAGCTACATCCTTGTTAGATGTTAATATTGCCGAGTCATCAGCAAAAGTAGCCAACAGTGTTTCAGAATGTTGTGGGACGTCTGAACAGTAAATGTTGAAAAGTGTTGGACCCAAGACACTGCCTTGAGGTACTCCAGCTTTTATTATTTTGATGGCAGAAAACTCAGTGGTATGCAAAATTTTCTAAGTGGTATGCGAATAATTCAGCTTTCTGATCGTCTGAATTTGCCCACGAGCCATCAGGATATCGAATTTGATGCGATGTCTCTTGATGATTCAACAAACCTTTTGTCATTCGCCAAATAGACGTATTGTTATTATCCAAACTATTTAGGAGGGTATTAAAATTTTCATTTTTAAATCGTCTGATTTCTCCTCGCAATTCCGTTGTTAGCTGATTAAATTTGGACTTATCTGAAGGATAACGAGTGCGCTGCCACTTCTTACGAGCTTTTCGTTTCTCTTGTAAGAGGTATTTAATTGACTCTGGGATGCTATTTTTCATATATCTTACTGTGGACTGTCTTAATGGACATAAGGAAGAATTCCAAGCCGCTTGTTGTATAGCTTGCGTTAGCGATTGGACTCCATCGTCAACCTCATCTGGGGTCCGCAAGAGGGTGTTCAACGAGATAGATTTTTCTAACGTATCCCTAAAGTTTTTCCAATCAATTTGACCTGGCGTAAGCGACGGTTGCGGAGATTTCGGAATTGGTCCCAGATCAACCGTAAGTAGTAAAGGAGAGTGATCAGACGAAAGTTCAAACAAATTTTCGATGTCAAAGTGTAGCTGGTTGAGCCCTATACTAATAAAGAAATCTAAAGCATCAGGAATTCTATTAAGATCAGTAGGCCAGTATGTTGGTGAAGGAGTTGAAACATGACAGCAACTGCTGGAAATCATAGCGTTGTGAAGGGTCCTTCCTCAGGAATTAGTCATTCTGCTGCCCCATATTTGGTTTTTAGAATTGTTGTAGAAGTCACCACCGCATAGGAATCTATGACCTAAATTATAAAATAAAGTATTAAAGGATTGAGAATACAAGGTTTCATTAGGTGGGCAATAGACAGCAGCGACAGACAACTCAAAGGGAAAAACTTTTAGAACAACGGAGGTACTCTGCAGACACTCACTTGCCTCAGAAGAGTTAAAGTAGTGACTAATGGACATTTTAACTAGAATGAGTGTGCGACAGTCCTGAAGTTGTTGTAAGTTGGTATTGAAAATTTAATTTGGCTTTTCAAGTGTGTTTCGGTCAAGAGTGCTACATCTATTTCCTTGTCACTAAAAAATACCTCTAGCTCATTTCTGTGCGCAAGAACGCAATTTGAATTCCATAGAAGAATTTTTAACCTTTTCATGACGTAAGCTTGGGCAGGTGATGCTGCATTAGGATGGTAAGTAATGAAATTAGTGGAGTCACAAGGTTTTTAAATTCATTAATGAAGTCAGTAAGTTGTGTTGTGATGTCAGGTTGTTCTGTGTCATGGGAAACAGCATTAGTTAATGATATATTTTCAGTTGTAGTAATACATCAAATCTAAATCTAAATATACATCACATCTGATTTTAGAAATTTGAGTAGACTTCAATAAACATTAACACGAATTTGGCAAGTTCCTATTAAACAATTATTTGTCCTAAGTCATGCAGACAACACACATTAAATTACCTCAAGCGAATGAAACATCCAACTGCCATTAAACATCAACTGAAAGTAATTATAATTATATTTAAAAACATAACTAAATGTGTGGGTGTGCGCATGTATAGATATATATATGTACAAATTAGGGTACATGATTATAAAAAGTACAAATAAAAAATTTGAAAAAAATATACCAAAGTAAAATAGAGATAAAGAAATAAATAAATTAAACACAAAAAACCAACGCAATCTATAGCTGAAGCAATAGTTACCACAAGATGGATATATGATTGCTTGGACATTCTATAAAATGTCAGAAATTTTGTATCACTCTCTTATAGCTCCTGTGCATCAACAATTGTCTAAGAGTGAACATTTCGTTCGATGTACGGATGCGCCCATGATCTACGTTGTTTTCTTTTAATTAGCTTCTAACACATGAACATATCCTCTTCATCACTGCTGGTACGCACTGTTCATTATTGCATATTTCAACTGCTGGTTGTAGAATTAAAAAACAAGGAGTTCCTCTATGAAAGACTGGAATTCCTAATATCAAATCGAGCCTGGAGGCACTTTTCTCAGAAATGACATCAGGATTTGAATCGCGTCGGCCACATCTAATCGACCCGAGTACGGTCGATAGGTATGGTCGACGCGATTCAAATCGCAAGATTCTTCAATCGACCATGTGTTCACGGCCTTAAGTTTTTTTGTTTTTTAATCGAACCACGCTTTTTATTGAATAGGGAGCAGCACTACTACGTCCGGCCTAATTAATAACTGCGTCAGTGATAAAGCTATAACAAAAATATTATTCAATTTAAGTAATTACAATTGCTTTACAGTAAACTAGACAAAATTTATTTCAAATGAAATTAGAGTTTTTCAATGGTAAAACCATTTAAACAAGACTTTTGAAGGACTAAACAAAGATAAGTACTGTTTTGATCTTTTAAAAAAATCATAAATTATTCCCGACTTTTTTCTATCAACTTCCAACTGTACTACAGATACATTACTTTTAGAAAAACTTCCTTATTTAAAAAGTCCATATTAATTAAGTTGAGGTATATTACGAAATAAGTTAAGATTCACCTCACGTATGGTCAAATAATCATGTGGTTTGATATCCTGTCACCTTAAAGTACTCATGTTTTCAGAAAAATATGACTACTTATTACATTTGTACTTATAACTACATATAACTACAATAAATTATTATAAAGCTTTTAAACTATTGAACAAAAAAACAGGACTTCCTTAAAAAGACACAAAACTGTTCGTATTTATACTATTAAAATACTATATATTTGTAATCTTAAAACTACAAATTTTTTTTATTTTTCTGTGGAAAATCGGACCATATTGTTTACAGAAATTTTTTTGTAGCTCTGCAGGTACACACACATTTATATACATACATATATATATATGTTATTTGTCTCGGACTTGTGACAATAAAAAAAAAGGAAAAGGTTCACGGAATGAAACGCATGAAGTCGAAATCAATACTGCTTGTTTACATCGGTGCGTTTGGTATTAACGCTAATACTGTGCCGATCCGTACCTTAACTTATATATATATATATATATATATATATATATATATATATATATATATATATATATATATATATATAAAACATACATATACACTTATGATATATATTCAAAGTTAAAATTCACTTGAATCATAACGGATATTCTAATTGAGTATGGATAATGTCATATATGATGGTACAATTATATTTTACTTAAATTACCAAACTTTGAATTTAATCCACAAAACTAGTGGAGTTATGGGGTGATGATCTCTGACGTCTTACAGATAATGGAGCATAAAGCATCTTTAAGTCAATTATTAACGTTTTGCGAGAGAGTGTTTCTTTTAGGAATTTCTGTTATTTCCTACAAGTATGACAAATATGTCTCTACTTCTAGCCATTCACGTATATATATATATATATACAAATTAGGGTACATGATTATAAAAAGTACAAAGAAAAAATTTGAAAGAAAATATACCAAAGTAAAATAGAGAAAAATAAATAAATAAATTAAACACAAAAATCCAAAGCGATCTGAAGCAAGAGTTTCCACAAGATGGATATATGATTGCTTGGACATTCTATAAAATGTCAGAAATTTTGTTTCACTCTCTTATAGTTCCTGTGCATCAACAATTGTCTAAGAGTGGACATTTCGTTCGATTTACGGATGTGCCCATTGAAAACTACGTGAAGATAATTTTTCATATTTACAAATTCAACTCAAATTTAGTTTTTGTCGGCTCGGGCAGGTGTCTAATGTATCTGTGCACATTTTGTCT